TGAGCAGGGAGCCCGATGCGGGACTCGATCCAGGGACTCCAGGATCATGACCTGAGCCGAAGGCAGTCGCCCAACCAACTGAGCCACCCAGGCGCCCCTCTTTTTCTTTTTCTTTTGGTGGTTTAACAACAGTTTATTTCTTATTCCCATAAAGTCCATCACAGGGCTGTGGGACTTTCCAGAACAGCTGCTCTCCATGTGGGGGGGCTCAGTTTTCCATACTCTGAGTTTCTGGCTCCTATGTCTGTATGGGCTTCCACGACTGAGGCAGGAAGAGCATTAGAGTTTTGCAACAACAAATAAAGCCTCAGCCCAGCACTCTGTGGATGTAAGTGTTAATGCCATCTAAAAAAAAAAAATACCATCAGAGCAACATGCACCTATGTTTGGCCAAATATCTGGGTGGCTTGGCTTAGCCACACTGACGTAGAAGATGAACCATCACACCACGAGGTTCCTCTTCTGATGTTCATGGCAGGAGGCCAGAGAAGTGCGGCCACCGGGAAGCTGCCCTCCGGATGGGCCCGATGCTGCTCAGAAAGAGCAAGCAGGTTACCCTCTTTTTGTCTACCCCTGCGGGGCTTCAAAATTAGGACGCTACGTCTATACACTCTTTCTGGGAGTGGGTTTAGAGGGTTCGTTAGCTGCCCTCGGAAGGGCCTTCCCTTTTGACCCAGAAGTTGTGAGGAGCCAGAGGATGAGGACAGGTACCCCGTATGCATGGCGTGGGTGCATAGAAGGAGCAGGAACCCGCGTGTCCAAGAGCACGCTGCCGTCAAGGAATTCCCAGCGTGCTGCAGCCCTATCTTGTGGACTGTGCTCTGTGCTGGTGTTAATCATGCATCTCGTTTGTTTGCTCTGTTTTGAAAGATAAAACTATCAAATTATGGAAGATTACTGAACGAGATAAAAGGCCTGAGGGATATAACCTAAAAGATGAAGAAGGAAAGCTTAAGGACCTGTCCACGGTGACGTCGCTGCAGGTAAGATGTGGAACGTGGAAAGTTCCGGCAAGCGGGAAGCCATGTAGACTTCTTTTGTGAAACAGTGAGCCTTTAGGACTTGAAGGGCCTTTGAGATTTGAGCCAGAGCTGGGTTCGGGTCCTGGCTGGGCTGCTTCCTTGTGGGGTGGCTGTGAGCTTTTCCCTGCCTCTAGCCTCGGGCTCCTCGTGAGCAAAGCAGAGACGGCTATTTCTCCCAGACGTGATGTGGGGATGAGGCGGGGTGACGTGTGTCCGGGAGAACCGGTGGGCTGAACTTTGTGGATTCCAAGCCCTTTGCCGAGGGTCCGAGAGAGGCCCGGAACTGGTGATTCTTGCCGCCTGGACAGAGGCTCAGCCGGAAAAGAGACCGGGAAGGTGAAGCTGCAGGTCATGCCGAAGCAAACTCTCATCCCCACATGGTGAAAAGGCAAAAGAACTTTCTTTCGGGGAGAGGCTGTGAGACATGGCAGAGAGAGTTCTGGAGTCCCAGGATCTGGGTTCCAGTACTCCCTCAGCCACAGGGACGAGGCTCTCAGCCTCCATGAGCCTCCGCCAACTCCTGATCTGGAATGAGCATAAGCACTTCCCGAGGCCAGCATGTGTCTTCCAAGCACTCTGCCCTATAGTACCGCAGTCCTCACCGAAGTCCTGTAAAGGGGGCACATGATTATCAACCCCATTTTATAGCTGAAACAAGAGCCGGGATCCAAACCCAGGGAAGTCTGGCTCCAGAGTCAGCATCCCAGTCTCCTCCGTGAAGTGGGAATGAGGTCCCAGCCTCCCAGGAGAGCCATGGAGATGGTCACTGGTGTCCTGCTGGAAGACTCCATGAACGTCTGTCCTTGTCCTTCTCCAACAGGGCAGGGAGCATAGCAAGGCCACCTTGTCTGTCCCTGGCTTCCAGAACCGAGCCTGGAACATAGTGGGTGCTCTGCTCGTGTCTGTTGAAGGGGATGCTGGTACACAGCTAATTTGGATTTATTTGTTCACACTTACCGAGCACCTGCCCTGTGCCCAGCGCTGCTCTGGGCATAGGGAGACCTCAGTGAAACAAAGAGCCTGGGGGCGGGATTGGGTCTGAGTCTTAGTGTCCCCTGCTCCTGGGCCTGGCCTGGCTCCGAGGAGGTGGCCAGAGTCCCATGAGTGAGCATCAGAGGTACTGCTCCCTTCAGCTCCAGTTTCCATATTCTAGCCAATTTGGAAAGGCTGGGTCACATCGCACGAACTCTCTGTCCTCCTGGGAGAGGAGGGTGACATGGGAGGAGTCTCCTGGGGGCCAACTCACAACTATGTGTGTGTGCCACTCGGTGGGGGGGGCAGTGGCGAGGCCTGGCGTGGGGGTGTTGGCGCCTCCCCCGGGCTCCCCGATGGTTCCCAGATCCACTCGCCACTTGTCAGGTGGCTGTAGGCAGGACCCTGCCCCGTGCCTCCGTTTCCTCACCAGCAAAATGGCAGTGAGGACTCACTTGCCCTGAAATAGCTAGCGTACCCGCTCACTACACATCCAGCAAATCGTCGTAAATATGAAACGGTAATCGGTGTTGTTCCCGAGATGGAGAAATAAATGTTCAAGCATCTCGGCTTCTAAATGACGGGCAAATTGTGCAAATAAATTCTGAGAAAGCCAGGAGGCCAATTAGCTTCCACATTGAGTAATGGGAGTGACGTGCCCCCCCACACTCCCTCCCAGGCCCCAGGAAGTTTATGAGGCTTTCATCTGGTGGGAAGGATGCAATTATCACCTCTTGATGGGGTGGCCCGTGGGAATCCGTTTATTTCCCTCCCAGCATCTGAGACTTTGCTCTGTGTCTCACTCACATCCCCAGACGGCCCTTAACCATCCGCCAAGCCCGGAGGAGGAGAAAGGGAGAAAGAACAAGGGCATCTGGGTCCTTCCTCCTCTCGCCTCTTCCTTGTCTCCTCCCATGTCACCCAGGCCATGCAGCTGTGTGCAGCTCTTTACCGAATCTGAGCCGTTCCTGCTGGAGGCTGGCGCTGTTATTTACCGACAAGCTGCTCTGCACTGGGCCTCATGCTAGATCCCTGGGTTTTGGAGGTGGGCAGGTCAGGCTGAGTGCCCAGCCCCCCAAGGAAACAGACAGGGAGTCACTCCACCTTGTTGATTTGGTGAACTCCTATTCATCCTTTAAAACCCTAGTAGCCTTCTCCTCTGTAAAGCTGTTTCTACACAAGCCAGATAAAAACCCTCACCGCAGTCTAGCCTGTGTATCCCACAATGTTCTGTCTTTAGCGTTTAGGTGTCTGCCCTCCTGCCTCTCACCTTGACTAGACTGTGGCTTCTAGAAGTGTTGGGGGAGGGGAAATGTTTTATTCATGAGACACCCAAACCTTCAGGGCATATTTATTTTCACTCTTCCTCTCCTTTGTTCTTTTAATAACTTTGAAATATGGTTTGGGGATGGCAGTGAGTGGTTGGAGCCCTGGATGTAGGCCAAGGCTGCCAGGCGGGGAAGCGATGTTGCCAGGAGGAGGGGAGGCAGACCGAGATACAAGACTTGGCTAAGCCAGTGATGCTCTGATCTTCTCCAGAAACAGGTGTGACTTGGGAGAGTCCAGGGGACCCTGGGGCAGCTGTGCCTTGAGGAAAGGGAAGGGAAGATTAGGAGTTGACCTAGAATATCTGACACAGGGGGACATGGGCAGGGCAGAGGCCCAGGCACACCATGTGCTCTCATCTCAGGCAGAGAGTCTAGAAGCTCAGGCACAGAGCCAGCAACACAAGAATGGCCCAGGGCCAGGCAGGCGTGCACCCTGATGCTGCACACGCCCACACTCATGCTTGTGCACGTGCACACTCACACCCACACTCATGCTCGTGCACACTCACATCCATATTCATGCTCGTGCACATGCACACTCACACACACCCACACTCATGCACACTCACACCCACACTCATGCTCGTGCACGTGCACACTCACACACACCCATATTCATGAGCGCACATACCCACACCCACATCCGTGTGCACGCACATGCATACTCGCTCGCACCCACACTCATGCACATGCATGCACACACACTGGCCCATGCTCACACTGCGTCCCCTGGGGCTGCGCATGAGAAGGAACATCTAGTGCTCACCCACCCAACTGCAGAACCAAAGCTATCACCTTCCATGTCAGAGGTCCCTGGGGACCTTTCTGTGCAGGGCCCTGAACTGAGCACCAGCCATACAGAGATGAACACGAGAAGACACAGTGTGCCCCTAACCGTTCCCAGGCTACTGCAGGAACAAGACAGCAGCCTCGTCATGTGGCCAGGGCTGTGACAGACTGGCCACTCCAGGAAGCCCCTGATCCAGCCTAAGAATGAGGTGCAATCAGAGGAGGTCCGCTGGGAGAAGGAGATTCTCAGGTCCCACGTCAGCCCGAGTCTGATCCACACGGCCCACGTCAGCCCCGCTCCTGTGTCCCCTCCTGGTTGCCCTTCCTACCTGGCACCACCCCTGCAACCCTCTCACCCCGACCCTGTACCTGTTCTATTTTTCCAAATAGCACCTGTTGCTACGTGAACTCTCTCTCTCTCTTTCTCTCTCTCTCTCACACACACACACACACACTCACTTCTGTATCGGTTTACTGTCTTTCTCTCCCACCTGATGGCAAGCAGCCCGTCTGCCCCAGCATGTCCTCACCCAGTTCAGCTTGGATTCCTGCGACTCTACCTGGTAACTGCCGCCCCAGGCCCAGGAGCCGTGCAGTTAGCCGACAGGTTTGCACAGCCCGACACCAGGACCCCGAGCTCTTCCTCACTCGGAGGCCGGCTGAGCTGCCTCTCTCTGGGACGCAGTTCCCATGGCCCCTGCGGCAGGGTCCCCCGGGCCCACGCTGAAACCCGTGTGGCTGTGTGAGGCCTGTCCCCCCTCCCATCACCTCCTAAGGACGAGGTCTGGCATTAGCCCAGACTGGGAACTCGCCATGTGCGGGGCGCCATTCTAAGTGCACTTGACCTGCGTGAACTCGTGGGATCCTCACGGAAGCCCTGAGCAGGGGCCAGCATACCCCTCTTCACAGATAAGGAAACTGAGGCCCAGAGAGGTGAGGTCCCCAGTGAGGGTAACCCTAGTGGTGTCAGGGCAGTAGGGCTTTAGGGGTCTGTCTGTCCACCAAGATGCCCTGACGAGGCAGTCACCCCTGGCTCTGCATTTCCTGACTCTGGGACTTGGACACATCGGGGTCATCTTGGCATCCAGTCTTCCCCCCCAGGACAGGATGGCCATGCCAGTGCTCGTTTCCTGAGCATCGAGTCTGGGCCAGGCCTGGGAGAGACTGATGAAGCCTTGTCTGTCTGTCTACCCATCCCTGAGGCTTCGAAGACCTCACAGTTTCCTGGGGTGGGGCCTTATGCCCGACACACAGCACAGCGTATGCTGGGAGCCTTGATACAGATGTGTGCAGTGTGCTGGGGGTGAGCAGGCCCTGGGACCCCACTCCCAGGGCAGGCCGCGTGTCCGAGGGGCTGTCGCTTCTAGCCCTTGCAGGAGGGGTCGGCATAACTAGGAGTTCAAAGGGGGTGAACGTTCCAGGCAGCGTACGTGGAGGGAAGCAAAGGCTCAGGACCTGGTGCTGTCCCAGGGACTGCTCTCCGATGGGAGTTTGTGTGAGTTAGGCTAACAGCAGCAACTGTAACAAATAACCCCAGCATTGCAGGGCGCAACACACAGAAACGTATTCCTCACTCATGGAAAGGTCCAGGGTCAGCGTTCCTGGTGGACACATGACTCTCCTGCAGGGACGCAGCCTCCTTCCATCCCACGGGCCTTCACTCCTAAGGCTTGGGTCCTCACCTTCCAGCATGGAAGGGGAAAACGGGTAGAGAAGGCACACCCGCCCCTTAACAGTCTAGGCTCTCAAGAGCCGAGTGTCACTGTGTTTACATCCTATTGGTCAGAACCAGTCACATGGCCACACCCAACTGCAAGGGCAGCTGGGAAATGTAGTTCTTGCCTGAGCAGCCACTTCCTTGTGACAAGGGAGCAAAATGTGGATAATTGGCGGGGGCTGCCACGGTATCTTCTCATTCCATTTTAGAGGTGAGGAAATTGGGGTGCAGAGGGGTTCGGCCACTTATTCAAAGTCACACAGCAGGCTCAGAACCAATCCCAGGAGGCCAGGCTTTCCTGCAGGACTGGCAGGTGATGGATGTTGGCCACGTGGCACTGCTTATTTCCAACACGTGCAGGATGGATGCCCACTGGCACATTCCCAGCCTCCGGTTTTGGTCGTGCAGCCCTGGCATGCCGTTTCCTGCCTTGGGCACCTGCCGCCCCCATTCCCCTCCGACACCTCATCATCCTGCAGACCGCCCCCTCCTCCGCAGGTGCCCGTGCTGAAGCCCATGGATCTGATGGTGGAGGTGAGCCCTCGGAGGGTCTTCGCCAACGGCCACACCTACCACATCAACTCCATCTCCGTCAACAGCGACTGCGAGACGTACATGTCGGCGGACGACCTGCGCATCAACCTCTGGCACCTGGCTATCACTGACAGGAGCTTCAGTATCCTTTCCCGCTGCGGGCACCCACCACCTCCCGGGGCGGGGGGCTTCCAGGTGGGGGTGGTTGGCTTGGCTCTGCTTTTGTTCAACTTCTTCAGTGAGTGAGACCCAGATTTGGAATCCTGATGAGCTGGTTTATGAAAACTTCTTTTTTTTTTTTTAAAGATTTTATTTATTTATTTGACAGAGAGAGAGCGAGAGAGGGAACAGAAGCAGGGGGAGTGGGAGAGGGAGAAGCAGGCTTCCCGCGGAGCAGGGAGCCCGATGTGGGGCTTGATCCCAGGACCGTGGGATCATGACCTGAGCCGAAGGCAGACGCTTAACGACTGAGCCACCCAGGCACCCCAGGTTTATGAAAACTTTAAATCCACGGCTGCTGAGGGTTATATTCGACCCCTTGCCTTCTCCGGGTGGCTGTGTTCCCTGTCATTCTGGGACTGCCTTGGGGACCGCAGAGGAGATAGAGTCCTGGGGTCTGCCCTCCTGGAGGAGGGATGGCTGACCCACTGGAGAGTCAGCCGGAGGCTCTGGACCCTCCTCCCTGCGGCCTGAGGCAGGGGCCTCAGTGTGTGATGAACAGCCTTGGGGTGCCACCCAGGGCTTAGGGTGACAGTCGAGGTGTCAGAAGCCCAGTTGGATGGGGTCAAAGGGGGGCCCTGCCTGGCGTTCCCCTATGTCTAGGCAAGCCAGGGGCAGTAGGATGGACTCCGGGCCCCGCTGACTGGTGAAGAAAGAACTTGGTACATAAGCTTGGGCCTGAGGGGCAGCAGTGGACAAAGCAGCCAGGTTTCTACCGTGTCGCTATTTGCAGGCCAATAATAATAATCCTACACAGTGCGGCTCTGCACCTGACCTCAACATGTGTTCGTGTTAACTCATATCACCTCACGACAACCCAGGAGGTAGGTGCTATCGTGACCTCCTGTACGGATGAGGAAACTGAGTCACAGGGAGCCCAAGTTAATCTGCTCAAAGCTCACACCTAGCAAGTGTCCGACCCAGGCCCCTCCCAGCCCCCGACTCCCCATTTCCAACCTTTATGTCCAACTGCCCTTTGTGAAGTCTGCCTCCAAGATGTGCAATGGAACGGGGTAGGAGCCCCCCACCGCCCAGAGTGTTGTGCAAGCCGAGTGTCCACTCTGTGCGGGGTGCTAGGCAGCTCCTGCGGCGAGAAGCTCCTAACACGGGGGGTCGGACCTGCTATTGCTGCCGCCTTACCCCTCAGGAGTGGGTTGTATCCCCCAGCGCCGAAGCCAGGGCTGGCTGGGAGGGGGTGTGGGAGCAGGAAGGAGCAGTCTGGAGGGTTTGAAGGAGAGACAGAGGGTAGCAAACGGCTTCTGCGGGCCGAGAGCCAGGGGCTGGCCAGGGTCCACTGGGCAGAGAGACCTCAGGAACGGGGAGAAAGGGGGCTTGGAGAAGCAGAGAGCAAGCACATGCTGTTCCCTGAGCCCAGCAGGAGGGTGGGGGGCAGACCTGGGGCTTGGCGGTCAGTGTGACCCTCTGTGGGAGTCTCGCTCTGCCCCCTAAGCTCACTGACCTTGGTGAGTAGCCGGATCCCTGTGAGCCTCACTGACCCCTCCCGGCTCGGACTGCAGTGTGCACATTCATTGAGCCCCTCCCAGATGCATCCAGCGCAGAGCTGGTGCTCTGCATGTCAGAAAGCAGAAGCATCTGTCTCCTTCCTGCCCCGAAGGAGCAGAGTGCTCTGAGCTGGGAGGGTGCAAGCGGATTGGGGTGGTCACAGAGGTTCAAGGAGGGGCTGAGGCTGGAGCTGCTCGGAAGGAATGGAAGCTCAGATTTGGATTGGTGGAGAGTGCTGGGCTGAGCATCTGCCTGACTGTTCAGGCTGGAAGCCCAGTGGGCCCCACCCTGTCCCCAGTGCTCAGAGCTTCAGTTGGTCAAGACTCCTTTGGTTGCAAGGCTTAGAATGCCTCATCCCTGCTGGCTCAATCAAAACACAGGCATTTACTGACTTACGGACCATGAGAAGGCTTCAGGCTCAGCTGGATTCAGGGGCTGAAACAATGTCATTAGATGGTTCTCTCTGCTTCTTGCGTCTGCGCTCTGCTCTGGCTTGTCTCAGGTGCCCCATGGTGCCAAATTGGGGCCAGCAGCACATGCCCTGCCTTCCCAGAATAAAGCCCAAGAGGAAAGAGACCAGCTTTCTGTGAACTGTCCCACCAAGCCCCCATATGGCACCCCATGGGCTCTCATGGGGCCTCAGGGGCACCTCTAAACCCATGACTGTGGGGGGGATGCAGTGCTCTGACTGGCCAGAGTTAGGATTAGGGTTGACCTGAGTCAAGGGTGCTGGAGGGGGTCAGCATGGGGGGGGGTCCCCTCAGGAAAGGCAGGCACTGCCCCAGCAGTTGGGGGCCCCCGTGGTGAACCACACAGCCAGACATCTGCTGCAAAGTTGGAGGTGTTGACCAGCTTCCTAGCAGAAAAAATGGGTCACATGGGAGCCCCAGGTCTACACACGGGGTGGGCACAGGACCCGTGGGACTGCCGTGGGCCGTCCTCAGCGCTTCCTCACAGCACTGGACAGTGTGCAGACCATTCACTGTCTCACTTGACCTTCGTGTTGGCATGAAAGCTGGATGCAGTGGCACGTTACACCCCATTTTGCAGATGCAGAAATAGAGGTTTAGGGAGATGGGGGGCTAGCTGACAGGGACAGAGCTGGGACTCGCCCTCGGGCCTCCGTGGCCTGGCCCCAGGCCGTTTGCCAAGCTCTTGGGCTGCCTGCTGCGGCCACCCTCCTGGAGCGCCGGCTTCCTTGTCGCAGGACCCCAGGCTGGGGACGTACCCCCTGTCGGATTGACGCTGCTGGGCTACTGTAAGGACTCGGTAACACTGTGAATGCACTTGCCCTTTGTAACTGCAAAACCCGCAGCTGTGTAAGGGATAGTGTTCCCTTTCATTCAGCCATTGATTCCTGGTGCCTCTTCTGACCCGGGCCCATGCTGAGCCCTGGGGAACACAGGGCCAATGAAAGAAACTCAGCCCTGCCCGTGGGGGCCTCCGGGCCGTGTTGGGGACATCACCCTTGCTGTGAGCAGGGCATGGGTGGGCGTGGTGGGCGAGGAGGGTGGGAGGGCTGTGTGTGTGTGTCCTGGGTGGACTGAATTCCAGCAGGCAAGCCTGGAGGCCAGGAGCCCAGCGAGGAGATCCAGGGAGAGGCAGTGATGGGCAGGTGGGGGCTTGGCCGTGGGCAGGAGGCAGTCGAGTAGTGGGGCAGTGGGCCATATCATAACTGTCTTTCAGACCGAGGTGGCCACAGGGCATTGGAACAGGTTAGTCGTGAATACGAAAAGAGGGTTGATCCCCTGCAGAATTGCAGGCACAGTCCTCCTGAGTCCTTACTATCAGCGGTGCCTCCTTGCCCCATTTAAACACAGATTGTGCCCTGTCTGTATGCTGGGGAGCATGCCATTCACCACTGTATTTATTGAGTACCTACTGTATGCCAGGCTCCATGCCTGACTTTGAATTAGATAGACAAATACCCCTGCCTTCCTAGAGCTAACAGACAATAAACCATTAATATAATGAACAAGTACCATACCCAGCATGCAAGCAGCTGACAAGTGCAGCGAGACCACCAAGCCCAGTGGTGTGCATTTTTTCTGGCCCTATTTATCTGGGGGGCTGCAGGTGTGGGCTAGGTGGAACGGGAGCTAGGGTGGGGGTTTTGCCCAGTGAATGAGCAGAATGGGGCTGATGTTGCCTGAATCTAGGCCAGGTGAGGAGATGGCTAGTGACAAGAGAGGAGCGTCAGTCATGGGGGGGGTTCCCCATGGAAACTCAGGAGTCTCCCCTGACTGCCGGTCCTGCCATCCAACCCCGTGTTAAACACGTGTGCTGTCTCTTAATTTTGTGCAGGTGAATTGGTAGTTGATCAAAATGCAAAGACGACCTGTGTCTTGAGGTCGAGGCGTGGGGGTGCTGCAGATCGCTGATGGGGGCCAAGCTGGGCTGCAGGCAGCCCCTGCCTGTGGAAAGTGAGTACCCAGTAGGCAGACGGAAGGGGCGGAGGGGAGTCTCCAGGGGCGTGTGGTGGTTGGTGGAGACCTCACTGCTGAGACCAGTTCGTCAGGGAACCGTGCTGCACATGGCAGTCCCCAGGGCCCGCTGCTGCTTGGCCACCAGCATGACGAGACACAGGGGCCCTGTGCGGAGACCAGTACCCGCCCCGCGGAGCCAGCCTCCTGGCCGGGAAGGCGTTGGGACTGCAGGCTGCTGGGTCCTGTGTAGCCGAGAAACTGGAAAAGGCGTTTCATTTCCAACGTGGGAGGAGGCCAGCAAGGCCTGCCAAGCTGGGGAATTGCTCCGAATCGGGAGACCCCTTTTGTGCAAGCACGTGGCTGGGGGTTCTGGGCCTGGGGCTTCACCTTCCTTTAACGCTTGCCCTCCGGTGTCTTGACTTGCCCCGGTGGGCGCTGCTGTTCGGTCTGAGCCACCAGAAGTTTCCTGCGGGCCGTACTACCTTCTTGTAACACTTTCCACCTAAGCAGAATTGATCTCTAGCAAAGGTTTTGAGAGAAAGGAAAGCCATCTTAATAAAGGAGAGAAGGTGGGTATTGTCTTGACCAGTGTGAACTGACAGTGAGCAAGCGGACTCAGAGGACCTCTGCACTGCTAATTTGAGACTTCGCTGATCTGCGCAGAGAGGCAGGGAGCCCAGTGCTCACGGAGCCTGTGTGTGTGCCAGGCACCTCCTTCCTCTCCCTCACCCTCAAGATGGAAGAAGGTGCCAAACCCTTTCCTTCCTCCCCCTGGATGGCTCTGGGATCCTGCCTACCTCTCCATCCCTGCCAAAGGCCCTGCTGGAGCCAGACCGTTCCTGCCTGGCCCGTTGCCTGGATCCCACACTGCCCAGCCAGCCGGCCCTGCATAGAGCTGAGAGCGACTCATCAGAACCTCTGGTCTGACCACGTCGGCCCCCAGCTTAAAGCTCTCAGTGGCTCCCCGTCAGCTTCTGGAGAAAGTCCGAATCCC